TTTTTTTTTTTTTTTGTTATTTAAATAGCAGAGTGTAATTTTTAACGAGATAAGAAGCTAAAAAAAAACTTATTGAAACCTGAAGGACTTATACACATTTTATTTTACAAAGTATCTCCAATGATCAGTCATACCACAAAGTATTTGGAAAGGTTCCCGCTTCAACATTGTTCTCGACGGTCAATTTGTGTCACTAAATAGATCCACAGTTAGGGCTGCCTTACAGCCTTTCTGTTAAGGTAAATTTCAATACCCGCAAGAAAACCAAAGCGGAAACTTTGGTTTACGATAGATTCCTGCTTTTGAAAACTTAATCGTTTAAAATACGAGGGGGTATTTTGATTCAGTTTCATCTGGTTTCTAGGATAGTTTTTGCAATTCACTTCTACAATTGGATATCTCTCATAAAGCCCTGGTAAGAGGATATCTCTTATAAAGCCCTGGTAAGAACCAGGTAACAACTAGTAAACCAGTAATATAATTTTACTATGAATCTATTAATTAATATCTGATATTCTGAAAGTGAACTGTAAATCTTCCGTTTTTGACTTTTCAGCTTAACTTTTATGAGGTTTTGATGCCAGAAAAGAGATGAAAATTTACAGTTGTCGCTGCTATAATAAAGTTAGCCACTTATTTTGCTAAACAAATTTTGGTTAAATTTGGCTGAATAAAAAACTAGAAAAGAAAATAAATTTAAAATATTGATGCTTGAAAAAAATGACGTTGTATTTTTGAAGATATTTGATAATTAATTGATTTTTCAATTTTTTTTTTGTTTTAATTCTTTTTTTTTTTTCTGTTTTTCTGTCTTTTTTGGATGAACCAATTTAGTGAATTTTCTCCAGTAACTACTACTACCGTTCAGGCTGCGTTTGTTCTAAAATAACACTGAAAGCCAACAAGTTTTTAAAGCATGATGAATACTTGGATTACTAAAACATTTTTTTATACTTATTATTGGCAGAGAACAGTTCAGTGTTGTGCCGCTACAATGAGCTGGAAAAAGAATTTTTTTTGTTTTATCTTTTTTGAAACTTAGCAGAGTAGTGTTTAGACATATTAAAAAAAAAAAGATCAAAAAGCTGACAGAAGAAAAAAAAAATTTTGCCGAAGTATAATATTAAATTACTTGGAGTGCTTGAGCCGCCTGATAATAACGACGATCTGATAGTGTATTTGTGTTTATATGTTCTGTTTATCTGTGATTTGCGTGTGTTTTGTGTCTCTTTTTTGCCCTCCTCTTACTTTTGCCGGTACTGAAAGAAGCCATATGCAAAGATGGAGAAAAGAAAGAAGCGGAATATCGTCTTCTCAATGTATCGGTTTGGCGGCGGTTTCTTCTTTGATCATTTGCTTATGTTATTTGAAAAAAGCAAATTTATGATCATATGGCTGACAAATTCGATTAATGCCCCCTAAATATTCGACCATAATCATCTGCCGTCACCTTAGCCACATCGGTCTTGTTGCCGTCGTTGCTGTACAGCTAAATTCAACGATGGCACCACAGAGACCAAGTTACCTGAAGTATATCAGCAAAGAAGATAGGCATTTTAAACTATTGTCATTGTCATTCCCTACACACAAATATTTTGGTAGCTGTCATCAGTAAAGGAAAAAAGACTTATACATAATCCGCTGGGGAAGCGGAACTGAGACAGCTGTTCCACTGACAAATCCGTAAGATGGATTCTACGTGGATATGAAGTCGATGTGTTCAAGAACGGCAATTTTTTGCAAGAATGCAAACAGAGGTTTCGGAAACAAACGGGCACAACATATTATTTGCTTGACGAGTGATAGAGAGTTAAAAGTGTCTTTTGAAGTTTGCCGACTCTGAAGTGCAATTTTCCAAAATGTTTGGGATGCTCCGCCACTGTCCACCAATCAACGGGGCAGCAGAATCAGTTTCCTGAAAAAATTTTGCCTACTATACCGTACAGTTGTTGGAAGTTGGATTTCTGTGTTGTTGGTTGATGTCATTGTTGTCGTTGTTGTTGTTGTTACGGTAAGAAAAAGAGCACAGAAAAAAAATGGCAACCTCAGTGTCACTGTTGTTTGTTTTCTTCTTTCAGTTGATCAACAACTGGCCCAGATTTGCAGTCTTCATGTATGATCAATCGGTTTGTTTATTTATTTAATTTTTTTTCATTTACTACTGTTTCAACTCATTTTTAGCTTCTGTTCTCTGGTTTGCTTGATGAAAAATAAGCTAACGAAAAATACAAATGGCCAAAATATATCGGTTATTATTGTATCCGGGTATCAGAAAAAAGTAAAATTTTAAAACGCATACGACTTCACTGACTGTTTCGGTGTTTTTAGTTCGGCTGTGCTGTTTTAAACTGTTAATCGTTCATTAGCTGACCAACAACCGAATGAACGGTAATTGTTGCCGGCAAAAAAAAACTTAAGTATCAAAAAAAGTAAAAAAAAAAAGGGAGAAAAGAAGTCTGATCCGTACTTGTCCTGAAAGAACACCGTTCCTTTTGCCCTCACGTATTCGAACATTATTTTGTTCAGTAACTGCCATTACCTGTCTGAAAAAATTTGCCCTTACGTGAGAATAAATTAAACAGTAAAAAAAAAAAAATTAGAACCTCATTTTTTAGCAAAAAATTTGATAAAATTTATTTATGATGCTTGAAAAATTTTTCTCTTTTACTCTCATTTTTTTTTGCCTGTCTCATTTCCATAAAAGATGGCACAGCCTTTTTTTTTGCTGATTTTATTGCTTCTTTTTTTGCACCTATAAAAATGGTTGCCAAATAAACGAATGATTTGTTTCTGTTGTCCAGTTAATTTTACTGTTACACATTGCTAAAATTGTCGTCACTAAAACTAAGCAAAAATTTCAAAACCCTAAAACGGTCGGTTCCGTAAAGGTCAAATTTTGAAGAAATATGGATTA